GGCACTTAATCAGTTCTAGGTAAATATTAGCTAGCTATTTTTTGTGCCTCGGTTGGCAGCCCTATGAAGTTGAGAAGCAATGTCCCTGAACCTTGACTGCCACTTCTAGAGAGCTCATTAAGCACTTTACATGTATTTATCCTATTTGATATTTACATCAGCCTTGTAAAATTGTCAGGGTTAAGAAGCACCCAGCTTGGAGCTGTTCTTGGGGTCACGGGAAGCCACAGCCCTTACAGCTGTACATTTGTCAGCAGGCCTTGGCACCCCACGCTCCAGGTAGACAAAAAGATGGGCTTCTGTTAGCACCTGTTCAGAGGCTCACCTTAGGGGTGTAATTTTCTGGCCTCGGACACTGGATTCATAGTGGTACCTTTATTTTGAAATACCTTTGCGTTGTCCAAGTAACCTTCTCCTACACTCCATACCAAAATCAGCTCAGATTTTAGTTTTTCATCTCGGCAACCCTTAATGCTACTTCTTTGTTCATAGCACGTTATTAGTTGTTTAAAAGTTTCCTGCAATATGTTATATATATTTTACCGTAATTTAAAAAAAAAAATCTCCACGGGGCACCTGGGTGGCTCAGTTGGTTAAGCGTCCGACTTTGGCTCAGGTCATGATCTCGCGGTTTGTGAGTTCGAGCCCCGCGTCAGGCTCTGTGCTGACAGCCCAGAACCTGGAGCCTGCTTCCAATTCTGTGTCTCCCTCTCTCTCTGCCCCTCCCCCACTTGTGCTCTGTCTGTCTCTCAAAAATGAGTAAGTGTAAAAATAAAAAAAAATTACAAAAAACAAAAAGAATCTCCTGAAAGTGTAGACCACACTCTAGCATTTGTGAGAATAAAAGTAAACATGTTAACATAAGGTAAAATAATGAGTTTGTGCTACACTATATGTATGTTATTTAATCAAGATTTTTCCTCCACCAAAAAAAAAAAAAAAAAATCATACTCCAAACACAGTTCATGTGTTTAATAGAAGATTCTGTTAGGCTGCAGATGCCCCTCAATAAAAGTTTTGTTTTTATACTTTCTGTTCTAAATTAAATGAAGTGAATAATTAATATGCTGTTATACACAGGTTACCTACAGATTAACGTATTATGGATCTCAGTAACTCATTGTTTATTAAATTCTCAAGTATGGAGAGATTTCCGATGTGAAATCTCAGCTGGCTTCTTTGCAGAAATTGACACAGTGATTCTAAAATTCATATGGACATTCAAAGGACTCAGTAGCCCAGACAGCCTTGAAGAAGAACAAAGTTGGAGAGTTAACCTGTTCCAATTTCAAAACTTACTAAAAAGGCTACAGTAATGACAACTGTGTGGTACTGGTATAAAGATAGACCTATAATGGAATAGAATTGAGGATCCAGAAACAAATTCTCACCTTTATGGTTAATTGATTTCTCAAAAAGGATGCCAAGACCATTCAGTGGGGAAAAAGTCTTTTCAACAAATGGTGCTGGGACAACTGGATGTCCACGTGCAGACACTGAAGTTGGACCCCTACCTCATACCATATACAAAAAGTAACCCCAAATAGATCAAAGGTCTAAATGTAAGAAGTAAAACTATAAAACTCTTGAAACATAGGAGTAAATCTTCATGATCGGGATTTGGCAATGGTACCTCAGATATGACACCAAAAACACATGCAACAAAAAAGAATAAATTGGACTTTATCAAAATTTAAAAATGTGTTTCAAAGGACTCCATCAAGAGAGTAAGAAGATAACCTACCGAATAGGAGAAAGTATTTGCAAGTCACGTATCTCCTAAGGGGGTTGTATCTAGAATATTGAAGAGCTCTTACAATTCGTTAATAAAAAGGCCACCTGATTTTTAAATTTTTTTTTCAACGTTTTTATTTATTTTTGGGACAGAGAGAGACAGAGCATGAATGGGGGAGGGGCAGAGAGAGAGGGAGACACAGAATCGGAAACAGGCTCCAGGCTCCGAGCCACCAGCCCAGAGCCCGACGCGGGGCTCGAACTCACGGACCGCGAGATCGTGACCTGGCTGAAGTCGGATGCTTAACCGACTGCGCCACCCAAGGCCACCTGATTTTTAAATGGGCAAAGGATCGGAAAAGACATTTCTCCAAAGAAGTTATTCAAAACACCAGTGAACACATAAAAAAGATGCTTAGCATCATTAGTCCTAGGGAAATGAAAATCAAAAACCAGAGTGATGCTACTTCATACACACCAGGACGGCTCTAATCAAAAAGATAATAACAAATGTAGAGAACCTGAAACTCTCATATGTTGCTGGTGGGAATGCATAATGGTGTGGCCCCTTTGGAAGATTGTCTGACAGTTCCTAAAAAGGTTAGACGTAGAGTTACCATATGACCCCAGCATTCCACTCCTAGGTATATGCCCAAGATAAATAAAAACATATGTCCAAACAAAAACTCGTACACAGGTGTTTATAGCAGCATTATTCACAATAGCCAAAAATGTAGAAACAACCCAAATGTCCATCAACAGATGAACGGATAAATACAATGTGACCTATCCATATAACGGAATGATATTCAGCTATAAGAAGGAGTTAAGTGCATGCTACAACCTGAATGAAACTTGGAAAAACACTATGCTAAGCAAAAGAAGCCAGGCAGAAAATGATCCCATTTATATGAAATGTCCAGAATAGGCAAATCTGAGACAGAAAGTCCATCAGTGGTTGCCTAGGGCTGCGGGGACGAGTAGGTTGGGAGGTGATGGTTAATGGGTGCGGGGTTTCTCTGTGGGGTGATGAAATTTTTCTAAAATTGTGATAATGGTTCCTCAACTCTGAGTCTACTAATAAAGTCATTGAATTGTACACTTGAAATGGTTGAAATTTGTACGGTATGTGACTTTATCTCATTAAACCTTTACAAAGCAGACATTTCCAACATGAACAATTAGTTGGAGAACCTTTATCACTGCCTCACAGTTTCATTCTTTTCTTCTTTCCTCTTAACCGTACTCCCCTCCTGTGTCTGATGTGACCACTGTAGAGGACCTGAGCTCTTAGGCTACCACCATTTTCTCTGACAATCCGTGTCATGATGAAAGTTCATTCAGCTTTTCAGTAAGGGGCTCTGATGAGGCGTCTGCTCTAAATGGATTTATTCACGTGCCCAAAGGCCAGAGAAGGATTTTTTTTTCCCCACCTTGAATTTGATATGTTTGTATTTGAGAGAATACTGAGCAAGGGAAGCATTTTTCCAGGTCCAAGTATACAGTTGGGGGATTAAAAAGATGGTGGGTTAGGGGCACCTGGGCGGCTCAGTCGGTTAAGCGTCCGACTTCAGCTCAGGTCATGATCTCACAGGTCACAAGTTCGTCCCCACATCAGGCTCACTGCTGACTGCGCAGAGCCCGCTTCGGATCCTCTGTCTCCCTCTCTATCTGACCCTTCTCTGCTTGCTCGCGTGCGTATGCATGCTCTCTCCCTCTCTCTCTCTCCTCTCTCACTCTTTCAAAATAAACGTTAAAAAAAAAAAAAAAAAAAAGGATGGTGGGTTAAATATAGAGCTGTTCTAAGCCCAAAACACCAGGGAAGAGATTTGGGGTTTTTAGGAGGCTTCCCCCTCACAGAGAAGGTGAATGTGATGTCCAGGATCATGTTAGTGTGAGTCTTCACTCGGCTTGGCATTTGAAAACAGAAAGTAACTCAGGAGAAAGCCTCTAGTAGAGGCTGTGCTATGTCAGGGCCAGGACAGTCTCGGATTCCCCAGTCTTGTCAGAGGGCCCTCATCCCCCAGTTTCACCCCCTCTCAGCTCCTACTTTCATATACCTCTCCTGCCCACTCCCCATGTCATCAGCCTCTCCCCAGGGAAGGGCCTGAAAACTCAGGAGACTGAGACTCTTCCCGAAAGGTCCCAGCTTCATGAGCTCCTCCAGGAGGGGGAAGGCCAGGCCCATGCCAGGCCCGGTCCTTCCCAAGGAGGTTTCAGCCTCAGGAGCAGGCCTGTTTTGTGTGTTGCAAGGCAAGGGGTGAAGTTTAACCGTGGGTCACAAGAAACGTATCCACATCCCTTCTTAGGACTTGCGGTCTGCCCACTTCCTGCAAAGCATGTGGTTAGCTGATGGGCCTCCTCCGTGTAGCCAGTGATCTAGCTCCTGTGCCAACTGGTTTTAAAATGTGAATCCTGTTGAAAAATGGTAGCCCTAGATGAAGGGAAATTCTGGTGTGCTTCGGTCATGTGGGGTTCCTAAATACAGAGAAACTTTGCTACTTACACATGCAGCCTGTCCCATGTATTTACCCAAATAGTGACCACAGACTGGAAAACTTTGCTAGAATGGATCTGTATGTGATGAGAGCTTTTGTGGCTCCCCAGTCCTTGTGTGCGTGGGGGTGAAGGCGCAGAGCAGGGGAGGCCCTCCTACCTGGGGTGATGGTGCCAGCCTCCAGGGGACCAGGACACAGGCTCCCGACTATGCCTTTCGGCCCCCCAGTCACCCCAAATCCTTTCCGTCTGCATACACGGTGCTCTAAAGTTGTGAGAGGCCCTAATTTGGTGAAAACCCCAGAGAGACCACAAGCCTGCTACCCATTTGCGTTCAAATCAAGGTTTTATGAAACTTCTGTTCCTGTTTTCAGGGTGGTGAAGCAAAAGGGTTTTTAAATTATCTGGGCTCCTTTGTGTTCCCTGAGACCACACCTTTCACACTGTCAGGCCAAACACAAAAACCCGAGAGCAGAAAATTACCCCTGCTACTTAGGCTTTTGATGAACATTGTCTTTAGGGACATTTTCTTTGTTCTTATTTTCTTTGGCCCTGAGTGGGGAATGAGTTCATTTTTCTTTCTCTCTCATTGACATTGGAAACTACGTCTTAAAAAAAAGAAATTATTTCTGCCCAGCTCTGCATTGAAAAGAGCTTGTAAAATTCAGCCCTGTTTGTCACCCTGTTCAAGCCCTGGTCGCGTCAATGTTCCCCTACAGGCTGCTCTGCGCCCTCCACCCCACCTGGCAGGTGCCGAGCTGAAGGAGGCGTCACGCACACTTGCTGACGCACTCCAACAGCTCCATCCGGATGGCAATGCGGACGTGCCAGCCCAGTGGGATCAGCCGGATGAAGCGGGAAATGATGGGGGGCCGCAGGAGGTTCTGGACCGTGGAGGTTCGGTCTGAGTTGCCATAGAAGACCTAAAGAGAGAGGAAATCTTATCACTATCACATCAGGGGAGGGAAAAGGAAGAACAATTCCTATCTGCAGCTGGCCCCAAATTTGAAGTCTGGGAAATCTCAGAATGGTCAAAGGTCAGAGAATTGCATATGCCCGAAATCTGAACTTGTGTGTTAGTGCCTGCATGTTCTAGGCATCTCCGAGTGATTCTCTGGGGACATCTAGAGCTTCCCCGGCCAGTACGGGAGCATTAGCCACACGTGGCTATTTAAATTTAAATGCATTAAAATTAGATAACAATTTCCTTCCTCAGCCGCGCTGGTGATGGCTCCTGTGCTCAATAGCTGTGTGTGATTAGTGGCTTCCATATTGGACAGTGCAGATCCTAACATTTCCATTGTCACAGAAGGTTCTATTGGATGGCACTGATGGAAAATGCCTCTTGATTCTCATCACCAATTCTGTGTTCTGATTCTTTGCATTTTGACCAATTTTGAAAAGGACCGCATTGCACTTACAGGAGGAATGTTCTTCTGTTCCAAAGGGATCCAAAGTGAGGCTCGAGTAAAAACTGGTGAGTTGGCCCTGAAGTTGTGAGCCAAAGCTTAAGTGTGTATCTCTACCTCCATACCAATGGCAAATACTTTTTAGACTTGGAAGACTGCTTTTAGAAAAGAAAAGACATAAAAACTAGAGGGAAGATTCTGGAAGGGGGAGTGCAGTACCCAAAGTAGGGAGGAAAAGGTTCTGCTTCGTGTGTTTTGGGATGCAGCATAGCATGATGCAGTGGCCCTGATGGAAAAAGGTGCCGTGGCTGTTCGGCTGCGTTTCCAAAGAAATCATTCTTGGCAGTCTTTCTAGAGTCTTAGAGCTCTGCCTGATGACACTGGAGCGTTTCATTTCTTTCTGGGATTATCTCCTGCAAAAAATCTGGCTGCCACTTTGGCCTCATCTATCTAGAAAACAAGAAGGACCTCGTGTGCCATGATCTTGCCTTTCTTCCCAATAGCAACATCCCACATCCCCTTCTCTCTGCCGTTTGCCCTTGAATCTATTCAAGTTGGGACAGGTGAAGAGGGAGGTTGGAACAGGCTCCTGCAGATTGCCCAAGTGCCTGAGTGGAGTACCTCTTTGCAAAGAACCGTCAAGGCCTTCAGAAATGCAGGCAGGACTTGAAAATGAATTCTCCATTTCTTTTTGAAAAGCCAGCTAACAAGATCAAAAATGAAATAAAATGTCTAAGTATCAAGATGGTTTCTCCTATTGTATTCAAACTCCTTGAAGTCTCAACCCGTGGCTGTCTTGCTGTACAACTTGTCATCACAGGGTACAAAGCCTTCTGATTTTCAGCCACACGTGTCTGCTTAATCTGATTGTCCAAATTAGCCTCAGAAGTCCTTACTCTCAGGCAAAAGGACAGTTAACGGTTCCAAACAGCTAGTGAGTTTTTAATTCATTGCAAATAGACATTATATATATAAAATATTGGTCATATATATATATATATATATACACTTAATCAAGAGCCTACTGTGAACAAGACTTGGGGCTTGGCCTTTAGAGGTTAGTAGGATATAAAATTGCTCAAAGGTTCAAGTTCCTCTGTGTCTTCATTGCTGGAGTCATTTTAATCATTTACATAGTTCAGTGGCTAACTTGCTGGATTGTCCAGATCTTCCTGGAAGTCAGTCTCAATGGTAAGGAGAGGCCATATCTACATAAATGGACAAGGGCCTAGCCACATCAATAATAGGTCAAGTCACATGTATGCAGCAAAGTGTTCAATGGCCCACGGAGTTTGGAATAGTCCAAATGTCCAGTTTTGATCATGTGAGCAACTATAAGCTGGTAGGAGAATTCAAACAAAGATTTCTTTTGCATGCAAGAGTGGTGCTCACTCACAAACTGCTGGGCATCCAGGATACAGCAAGAAAAGACCCTGCCCTGTCAGAGAGTAGACCATGTTGTGGGGAAGAAGCACGATTGACTTCCCTTGCCATGGAGTCAGTGGCGTGACAGGGCAGGAACGGGAGGGAAGTCCCAGAGAGTATGAGCTAAAGGTGGTTTGGGGTAAGTCCAACTTACCCGGTTGTTTCCTGTCTGGTCCTTATAGTAAATCCAGTTCAGGTTCTCATCGGTCCTGTACTGCACGCTGTACTTGGTCATCCACTCATCAATGTCACAGCGCCCCTGGGTGAGGATCCCTGAAATCACCTTGACCTCCTTCAGATCTATCTCTAGCCACTGGCTGCTGTCCTGGTACTTGGACAGCCAGGCGCACCTGCCAGGAACACAGCAAATCACCAGGAGCCCTTTCCTATGAGAGCCTCCAAAGAGCTGAGAGGCACGGCCCTTTGAGGGGTCGCCAGTGCCTAAAGAACCCCTGCAACGCGCAGGCAGTCTGAGCTGCAATCTGTTAAGCACCAAAAGGCCTGTCTCCAAGAAGTGTGTGGCCTCTGTCATACTTGTATCATTCTCTTTCTCCCAGCATCTCCACTGACCAAAGAACAATGGCCAGATTCAACTGATCTGTCAAAGAAGTGCCTTTGAGTGTTGCTGAAATCACCTTTGGGGTGTGGTTGAGTATGTCTGTCTTCAAATCATGAAAATGCATGGTTTTTGCACCCACCAGCTCCCTTCCCTTTTCATTAGTCTCTCCTGATGTCTCTTTCTCCATGAGTCTCACCCCAATTTCAGTCCCTTTATACATATTTGCGTCTCCTTCCAGTGCTGTCATTCATGGCTTTCAGAGAGTGTCTCCCATGTGCAGAACACTGATCCAAGTGGCTCTGGAAGAGCTTTTGGCAATTATAAAGCAAACCAGCCAGTGAGGGAACTGATTTGTTTTTTAGCTATGTCTCTCATGAATTGTGGAAACCTATAATTTCCCCTTTGAGGTTTTTATTTACTTTTTGCATATTAATTAGCTTCTCGGGACTCAGTCCTTGGCTGCCTTCTCTTCTAATTCCAGACTTGCTCCTTGCGTGGCTCTTGAAATCTTAACTTCCAGCCCAGACCTTTTCTAAATCCCGAAACCTGAGAATCATTTGCTGTCTAGACAACTTCTAGGTGCTGTACAGCATCCCCAAAGAAACATGTCCAAGAGTAAACACCTAATTGTCTCCAGCCCCTCCTTCCAATATTCATCTTTCAGAATGCTACCCCCATCCTCTGGGGTGTTCATGCCAGGGATCTGAGAGAGATCTTTGTCCCTTTCTCTTTTTTGCCTCAAACATCCAATCCGTCTATTGACTCCATCTCAAGTGTTTCTCAAAGTCATTTACTTTTCTCCATTTCACTGGCACTGCCCTGACCCACATCATCCTCAATTCTTGCCTGGATTGCTACTTTAGCTCACCTCACTAATTACTTCCCCCAACTAAACAGTTCTCCTCACAAGAGCCAGATTTTTCTTTTCTTTTCTTTTTTTCTTTTTTCTTTTATTTGAGAGAGACAGAGCACACATGCGCAAGGGAGAGGGGCAGAGAGAGAGAGAGAGAGAGAGAGAGAGAATCTTAAGCAGGCGGCCTGCTGAGCATGGCTTCTGACATGGGGCTTGATCCCACAACCGTGGGATCATGACCTGAGCTGAAACCAAGAGTTGGATGCACAACTGACTGAGCCACCTTGGCGCCCTGAGCCAGAATTTTCTTACAACACAAATCTTATTGTGGTATTCCCCAGCTTTAAATCTTTCACTGCTAGAGTCTGCTAATTGTCCCCCAGTATCCTCTTCCCGTCTTCTTTTAGCAATAGAACACCATCACCACCACCACCACCACCATGTTTTATCTGGGCAAACAGCCACCCAGAAAAGTTCATATTTCCCAGTCTCCTTTGCAGCTAGGTGGGACAACCTGACTAAATTCTGATTGGTGAGATGTGGGCAGAAGTAGCCAATAGGATTATGCTTGTGCACTCTGCTCCTCTTTTCTCCCCCCTGGCTAGAATGTGATGTGCTAGTGGAAGCTAGGGTAGCCATTTTGGGCCCTGAGATGGCAGCTTCATGTGAAGGATGACAGAAGAAGGTAGAAAGAATCTGGACCCCTGATACCATCAGCCGTCATAACAATGAAACTACATAACCTAATGAAACTTTTAGATGACCAAGAAATCAACCTTCATGTTATTTAAGTTTCTGTACTTTGGGGTTCTTTGTTACAGCAGTACAAACTTGTACTCTAACTAATGCACATTCCGGGTCCTCTCATTATGCCTAAAATAGTTACCATAATTCTTCACGTGACTTCACTATCTGAGATCTGACTTCTGCCTACCAGAGCTCTGGCCTTATCTCACTTGTGCCCTAACTTTGCTGACCTTTACCATCCCCATCCGTGCCCTTCACCATCCCCATCCGTGCCCTTCAGGTAGAGTCCCTCTCCCCATCTAAACTGTGTGCTTCTTGAAGGCCAGGACCTCCACCACCTTGCCCACAGTCCTCAGCACACGGAAGGCACTCAGTCAATATTTGTTGAATAAATAAATGCATTCTGCCATTTTTTTCTTACAGAGACCTACATTTTTCAAATCACATGAGAAAAACCGCCTGAGCCACCTGCCCTGCTTACCCAAAGCCTTGACTGTTGAGCCGGGCCTTGTTAGCGGTCCACGAGGAATACCAGCCCACGTACTGCTCCAGGTTGGAGCAGGTGATCTGGTCTGGTGTAACTTCTCCCGATTCGAAACCCAGGGGCTTATGATATGGGCATTCTGGAAAGGGAAAAACAACGCACCTCAAAACACTCATATCACATCGCAACACTCCACAAACCCGACATGACTGACATGCCAAGTCAGACCGTCTCCTTCGTGCTTTGGTAGGTGGAGAATGTTTTGCTCGTCAGTGCACTCCACAATGGGTCTTCAACTTATTCGCTGCTCTTATGAGAGAGAGTGAAGATGAAGTCAAAGGATTGCCATAGAGACTCAACCTTCGCAAAAGCAGAGAAAAGGGGCTCTATGGCAACCTGAGGTGGGGGAGGGAGGGAGGGAGAAATACTTCACCTCCTCCACAAACTTAGACATTTGCAAAACCAAGAGGTTCCCAGGGAAATATCATAGTTAAATGCCGTACTCTTTATTTTCCTCATTAACACACTTTTAGCCGTCCGGCGTGATGACGTCAGGGGCCCCAGCTGTCTTCGGGCAGCATATGATGCTAATTATAGGAACAAAGCAATGGTCAGAGGCAAGAAAGGCAGTTATATACTGAGACTGACTTCTCGCTCGTAAAGTGCCGTCTTCTCACTAGTCTGATGAATAAAAAAAGGTGTGTGTTGGGGGGGGCGGTGAAATGTACCTGAATGACTATTGAATAAGGTACAGTTGAAAGGAACTGGTTTTTTTCCAAGTAAGAATAGCCAAAGCTGGTTCTTACGTGTCAACCGTCGGCTGCTTCTCACGTATTTCTAAACACATTTAGTGTTGGGTTACCTGGTCACAGACTTCCGCCGATTGCCAGCCCAGCATCCGTTCTCCCCTTGTTTTCGACTAAAGAACCCTAACTTTGTCAGGCAGCAATGTAGGCGCTAGAAAAAATCTTTCCCGGCCTCTTTCGCGGTTAGAAGCGACCACGTGATACAATTTCTGACCACTGAGATATACGACGATGTCTGCTGGGGATTTCTGATCCGTTTTTGCTCACCCCTTTTTTCTTCCTGTTGCCTAGAAAGAAGACCGGATGGCTGGCGCAGTGGCTTCTTGCACAACGGGAGTAAGGCCAAAAGAAGCACCGAGACCTCAGCCCTGATATCCTCAAGCAACTGCCTACCCCTTCTCTTTTCACTACAGGAGTCAAAACAAAAGTAATTCACTAAGCCACTCTTCAGGGAATCCCTTATTGACAACTGAACACAAGTCTAGCTATATTTCTGTAAAAAACAAATGGTAAACTCACACATTCTCTTAGTTTTCCGATTGTGAAGAATAAACTTCAAGTAAGTGAAATTATTTTTTGTCCATGTGTAAATCTGAGTTCAGATCAAAGAGCTGAACATGCTGACTGGGGCATCATCCCTTTCCAACAGTGAAACGAGTGCTGGGGTCTTTCTGGAGGATAGCTTCCAAAAGTCACTAAAATTGAACGAAGCATGCAAAAGCTTGAATGCCATGCATCCTGAGACCAGAATGCCCGCAGAGGCAGTCATGCCCTGTCCTCAGAGAGTGAAGACAGAAAGACAGCTTCAGGCCTCTGACCAGGGAGGCTTCACTGCCTTTCTGCCCGATGCACCAAAGGAAAAGGTCCAACCTCCACCATTAGTTGTAGCTCAGTGGGGCTGGAAGTGAGGGGACAGCACTTGTGGTTTATCAAGTCCCCAAGGCTGATGGAGCCTACTAAAATCACGGGAATTCCTGGGAGAGAGGACAGGAGTGATTTACGGGCCCCTCAATCATGCCTTGTGCGGTCAAATCGTCAGGAGGGCTTGTTAAGGATGCAGTTTTCAGTATCCCACCCCCAGAGCAGCCTCATCTTTAACAAGCACACTTTCAAAGCACACTGGGGAAACTTTGGCCTGTGAGAGAAGGCATTTGTCAGTTGGCAGGTTCAGGGACCTGGTGCCCATGGCCTTGGGGGCCCCCTCTACCTCCTCAATTTCCCTCCGACCTGGAGGACAAGCCCATGCCACCAGAAGGTGGGACAAGGCCCCAGCATCAGAAAGCTGGTTTTCATTTGGGCCCAAGGTTGTCACTTAAATGCTAACTGTGGGTGTCTCTAAGGCCCCTCCATCTTGAATCTTCCTTTTCTTGCTCCAGGGCCACCAGCTTGGAGGGAAGGAGCAGAGGGGAAGGAAAAGTCCACTCCTGATGGCTTTATTCTTGGCATTTTGCTCTTTCTGTGTCTTTCCCTTAAATCTCTTTTGCCATTTCTTTCCGATTTGCCCATCTAACGGTTAAGAGTGGAAACCTAGGGAGACGAAGCCAGTGGCAGTGGCCTTGGAGGCTGGTGAGGGCTTGTCCAGACACGGACCCTGCCCACACTCTCCAGGAAAGTGATGATCTCACCATCCCCATGGCTTTTGCCTGGCGTCTGGGAGTCAGTGCCTGATTCCCAGGCCCCAAGCCTTATCCCATTGTCCATTTTCCAGGTGAACAGTTCCACCCGGGTGACCCAAAGATGCTTCACACCCACACGTTCCAAACTGTACCCTTCAGTATCCAAGCCCCACGCCTGCCCCTGTACAGTGCTCCTGTCAGGTATTGGTGCCTCTAGCTACCCAGCTGCTAACCCAGAAACCAGTGGTGTGGCCCAGGGCACAAAGCAGAGACTCTCTGATGGGTCTCAACCTGGGTATCACTGGGGGGGAGTTACAGAAGTGCTAATGTTGGGGTCACTCCCTCAGAGATTCTGACGTCATTGGTCTGGGGTAGGACCCGGGTGAGGGGTAGAGCTACAAGTGATTGTAATGGGCAGCCAAGGTCAAGAATGTCTGTCTAGAGTCAGTGTGAGCTGGGATCAGATCCCCGTCTCTGTGTGAGCTTAGGCAAGCTGCTTAACCTTTCTGGATCTCAATTTCCTTATCTGTGAAAGGGGACCCACAGCAGTACCTGCCTCCACGATGTCGCTGGCCAAGAGCAACAGATTATATCAGTGTAATAGGGTGAATTCGTGGGAATACATTGATGTCTTCTTGAGTTTTTCATGTTTGTCTTTCTGGCGAAGACTCACCCGGGAAGAAATCTAACTCCCCCCTCTCCCACTCTGCCCTGCCCCCATCATCCCCTGTACATCTCCCCAAGAAAGAGGGTTCCTAAGGGTTGGGGCTCTTCTTGGGTTTGTGTGTGCACGTGTTCATGTGTGTGTGTGTGATTTGAGAGAGGAGAGGCTGTAGACCACATAGCATCTCTCAGATTTATGGATTTGGAAGGTCTAGGTGCCAACAGGAATTAGCTGATTGTGCTACAGGAGGGGACTGGAGAATCTGGGCTTTGGCCCTTTTGGGGGAAAGGGGCGTGCTCATGGTAGGGGCCTGAGCTCAGCAGGGACATGCTTCCTCTGAGGGGGCTGGACCACAGATGGGGCCAGGGAGCCCTGAGCTCTGGACACCCTCAGGAAACTTGAGAAGGTCCCCGGGACTGAGCTGAGCTTGGTTCAGAGGGAGAAGACCCCCCCAGTGAAGTGTTGGCCTTCTTTTTTTTTTTTAATTTTTTTTTTCAACGTTTATTTATTTTTTGGGACAGAGAGAGACAGAGCATGAACGGGGGAGGGGCAGAGAGAAAGGGAGACACAGAATCGGAAACAGGCTCCAGGCTCTGAGCCATCAGCCCAGAGCCCAACGCGGGGCTCGAACTCACGGACCATGAGATGGTGACCTGGCTGAAGTCGGACGCTTAACCGACTGCGCCACCCAGGCGCCCCGAAGTGTTGGCCTTCAGGTAGGGCTGTGGGCCAGGCAGGGAGCCTGCCACCTGGCCTGAGCCTGAGCCTGAGCCTGAGTCTGCGCCCTGCCCCCAGGCAGCCCTTGCAAACCCACGGGAGTTTGATGCAGTCCAAGGAGAGAGGAAGGACCTTTAACAGTCTGTCTTTAGACTCCTCGCTAGCCATGAGGAGGACTCAAACTGGAGTTATTTCAACTTGGAAAAATAGAAAATGTGGCATTTCTCACGCTCTATGGACTGTGGGGTCAATTGCAGTCAAGTTATGTTATTGTTTTGCCCGACTCCTCCTTTCCCCTCTCCTCCTCCTTCCACGGTCCTGGCTGGGCTCCCTTTGGGTCCTCATGCAGGCCTGGAGGCCTTCCACTGAGGCTGTTCCCTCTGCCTGTGACACTCCCGTCCCCTCTCTTCCCCCTTCCCCCGGCCAACTCTGCTCTTCCTTCAGATCTCTGCCGGCCACCCTGTTCCTCTCACTTATTCCCCATCCTTGTCATTATTTATCGGCTCCTCTGGGCTCTCTGGCTCACCATTGTATCCTCTGAGCTGAGCAGAATGCCTGCACATGCTAAGCACTCGATAGTTATTGACTGGATGGTGAATGAAGGGATAAACACAGATTATCGCCCGTCTCGGGTGGCCTCTAGGAGCAAGCAGAGAAGACAGCAGAAACAGGAAGCGGAAAGCTCAGGGAGGAAATCGAGGTCGCCCAGCCCAGAGAACACCTACTGCTCTAAGCCATAGGAAACTGTCAATTGAGTATAAACTAGGATTAAGCGGCACGAATAATGTTGCTGGAGGAATTAAGGGGATCCTCGTCAGACTTACACGGAATATGTCCTTCCCACGTTTTCTGCCCAATGCCAGTTTGTTAGGGTAGCTATGAAGCCTGTTGGTATGCTCATCTTAAGTAGAAAAAGAACGTTTGTACATTCATTTTAAGGAGAAACCTACATCGTGTGTGGTACAAGTGGATAAAGCACGGATATTACGTGGATAAAGGCATGTTCATAATGTGCTGCGAATCCAGACTATACGTAGCATACTAGCCTTTCTTATTCAGTAGATAATCTCGCGGTCAGGAGGCGTGAAAGCCAGACATGGTTATAAAGAACATTTACCTAGAGAAACACAAGGGAAGTTCAGGGACGTTCTTGACAAGAGAGACATGAATATTAACATGCACGTGTATTAGGCTTGAACCTATATGACAATGTAGTGGAACATAGAATAATGTTTATAGAATGGAGTAGAAACTCGAAGATAATATAGAGGTATAAAATCTAGAGTAAAGGCAAAGCATTCACGAATCACTGGATTTCTTAGGCTTGGATACTTTCCTTACCCTATTCTTCCCCCTCCGAGGGCCAAGGTGATCTTAGCTAACTGTGGAGGACAGACCTTTTAGTCGTTTTGATAGTGTTAAGATGAAGATTAAGGAGGCCAGAATGCACCTTCTCCTCTGTGGGTGGGACCACTAGACAGTAGCAGCCAGTGTGCACCCGAGAGTACCTCCGGGCAGCTCCCAGTGACCTTCCCTCCCGTCCTTCTGTATCTTCTACGCTCTTCTTCCCTCCTAAGGCGGCCTGTGATGGAAGCAGTGAGTCTCAGGATCCAGAGAGACCAAGCAGCGTTCTTAAGATTCCATTGAGGACCCGAGGCACTGATGGGCGTCTAGTCCTGCTGCCCTGAACCATCTCTTTCATGGAAAAAAACCAATTCATGCCAATGAATCAACCGTGTAACCCTTAGGTTGTGTTTGTTTCTTCCCGGAAATGTCTGTGCCATTAAAAAATAAAATGAGAGGAAAAACAAACAGAAGATGGTGGGGAGTGGAGAACACGTAAACTAAAAGAATTTCCGATTTCAGAACTTCGAGTGCACGGCGAGTGTTTAGGCGAGAGAGCTCGGGGGGACCCCGGTTGACTTCACATTCCCCAAACACACAGCCCTCCTCAACTTCACAGTTGATTGGGTCAATCTGCATAAATAATCTCTTTTCAAGTTGGTGGGTTTTTTTAGAACTCGGAATGGAGTTCCAGTAAGGTCTTCGTGTCTCTAGTGAAGAGAACGTTTGTTTTCACTGCATGGGAAACTCCTTCAGGGAGGAGATAATGCCTTCTTTTTTTTTTTTTTTTTTTTTTTTTTTTTTTTTTTTTTGCCTCCCCATCAGTGCCTGGCACATAATAGACACATGATGAGAAAGGGTGGAACTGAATTTTAAATGGATTATTAAGGAGGGTGCTTCAATATTGACTGGGCAGACCACACCAGTATATAATGGTTGCAGGAGCTCCTGCCGCGGAGCACAGTGGGGCATCCAGTAGAAGCCCACCAGACTGTACAGCACTTGCTGCTTTCCTCATGACAGGGGCCCCACTGTTCCCTTCCGATAGACTGAATTCACAAACCACTTCCTACCCCTTCAGTAAATAGGGAAGGGGAGGCAGCAAAGGCCGTCGGAGACTCTCCGCTGCCTCCCCCACAATATGCTATTTTAATGCAAATTTAATGAAATAATGAAGAGAAGCTCGCACACGCACACACATACTGTCTCTAGCGGAGCTATTATTAGGTGATTATGTACCCTGCAGAGGGTAACGAGCACAGTTTCGAGCAAAAGAGGCTCTGAGCCGTGCAAAGGACTGAGCGTTGCAAGGATTTTCTGGGCCCCCAAGTCCCTGAAAGTCAGAGTGTGAGCTCTCAGGAGGCAGGAAGAAAAGGAGCGGACCTTTCGTAAGCAACAGTTTGCTGGGTACCCCGCATGCCTATGAGGATCTATTCCTCGTGACAACTCCTAAGAGCAGGGGTCAGCAAACTGTGGCCCTTAAACCAAATGTGGCTCACCGCCCGTTTTTGTAAATAAAGTTTTATTGGAACACAGCCACACGCATGGATTTACATATTGTCAGCGGCTGCTTTCGTACTACAAAGGCAGAATTGAGGAGTCGGGACCCTAGGGCCTGCAAAGCCACAAATATTTAGCATCTGGTCCTTTACAAAGTTTGCTGGCAGGAACCTTACAGGAAGACGCTTGTATTAGCCAGGAAGGGCTATGTTAGGCTGCAGAACAAATTGTCTTGGAAATTTCAGAGGCTTAACAGACAGCGGTTTATTTTTCACTCAGGTGACTTGTCCGTTATGGGTTGGCAGGGATTCTGCTCCATTCAGTCTCCTGGGACCCACACTGGAGGAGGAACCATTTCTCAAGCAGGGAAGGGAAAGCCGGAGAGTCAAGTACCAGCCCTTAAATGTTCATTTTGGAAGGGACGCGGCTCGCTTCGGCTGGAGCCACTCTAAAGGGGCTGGAACGTGGGGGAGAACATGGTTGTTCGCTGAGCAGTAAACCTCGGGCACAGTACTATTACCTCCCTTTGACAGAAAAAGACCCAATGGGGAGTCCCAGAGCTAAGAAGGGAGGCAGGCAGGATTCCAGCTCTGGACTCTCTGACTCAAAAGGCTGTCCTCTTCTCAGAACGCCCTGCCTCCTACCATTGACTTATTTTCACACATTCCATTAGTCCATTTCATTGAAAATAGGCGCCATCTCACTGTCTCACCCAGGCCAGGGAGAGAGGCAGGAAGCTGTTTCTGAACAATGACATCCGTGTGGTATGTTGGAGCAGTGGCCATTGTGGGATTTGAAGTTGGGAGGCCAACTGCAGGAAACCCAGAGCCTAGCATCCTGGGGGGTTAACTCGGCCAGGCGGAAAGGAAAAGGAGAAACAACGTTCCCCAGGACACCGCGAGGATCCGGTGCCCTAAGCAGAGGAGACACTCACCCGGAATGCAGTCTAAGGAGGTGGCGCCAGCAGACCAGAGGGCATTGGCACCTCCTTGGCAATCGCATTTGCATGCTTTGTGGTACCAGGGGTCCTCACCCTCATCCTGCGGGAAGCCAGAGGGGAAGGAGTGTCAGAAAAGTCACAGGCAGGGCCGCCTGGGGGGCTCAGTCGGTTAAGCATCTGACTTTGGCTCAGCTCACGATCTCACGGTCTGTGAGTTCGAGCCCCGCGTCGGACTCTGTGCTGACAACTCGGAGCCTGGAGCCTGCTTCCGATTCTGTGTCTCCCTCTTTCTGTAACCCCTTCCCCGCTTGTGCTCTGTCTCTCTCTTGAGAATAAATAAACATTTAAAAAATTATAAAAATACAGAGAATGCTCCAGGTATGAAAATTTCAGGGGAAAGAAAGAAAGATCACAGGCAAAGGCAACCGTGGCCAGAGCCACTGGAAGAGTTTGTGTTCAAGAACCTTGCTCATTCATTACCTGTATTCTGTGGCCGCTTTTGCACAAGAGCAGCACAACTGGCATACTAATCCAGGCTTAAGACATACAGTTGCCACTCATCTTTGAGTCCAGATAAACAAATGTCCAACACTGTGGATGGACAGCTAATGATCTCACAGATGCACCGCGTGGGGAGCACCGCTCACCCCATTATAGTTACCTTCAGGGTTTGGGGGCGGGGCCCGGTTCACGGTCAGGCTGCTCACTTCTGGAGGTCCCTTTTAGGGATCCGGTTTTAAAAGGTAATGGATTCATGATCACACCGCCTGAATTAAGACCTGGTTCACTTGCATTCTCTCATTAAAACACCAATCTTGAACTTGCCCAGATAAAATGGGCTCTTGCCACCACCGGAATAAAGTACCTTTAAAAAGTACCTTTTTTTAAAAAAAAAGGATAATCCTAAACATTATTTTGAGCTAGGAAAGTCTTTAAGAACAGTATCCATGTAAATCCCAGCCTTCTTACTGTAACATACCTCAGTAGACGACAGTCCCAGTGTGGCTAAGCAAAAGGACAAGAGAGGAGAAAATGAAGTTAAAAGAAGAAACAAATTCAACAAGGAGAAGTGAAATGAAAATAGTCACATAAAAGTTAACAAAGCCCCTTCGGGAAGAAGTCAAACTAAGTAAATATATATGTCAGGAAAAACATCCACAGATCCTGAGAAACCAGGGGCAGTAAAATTAAACAGAGAAGGATCATTATTATTATTTTTTAGGTAAACTCTACCCCCAACACGCGGCTTGAACTCAAGACCCCGAGATCAAGAGTCACATGCTCTATCGACTGAGCCAGCCAGGTGCCCGTATTATTTTCATTCTTTATAGAATTTTGGAAAATAATGTAGCAAAGGGGGGTGGGGAAGCACCGGTATTTCTTATCACCAAAGGCAACACTGTTGACATTTTCATATCAATCTTTCCAGTCTTTTTTCTATGTGTGTTTTTTAAAACGTACTTGAGAACCTAGTATTTAAACAATGTTTACAATTTACATTGTTAAATTTGACATTAAATGCTACCTTCTTCCTTTACTTACTTCTTCTTCATCATCAGCAGCAGCAACAGGATCCCTAGGGTCTGCCTTATGTGCCAGTCAGGAGCTGATTCCTAGTCCCCGCACCCCCCCCCCCACCCCCCCCCCCC